TCTCTTGAAAGAACTAAAGATTTTCCTTTATTGCAGGGCCTGGTAGGCTCTGCACATGGTGTCCCTGCTCAGTCTCACTCTCCTTGTCCTGTGTCACTCTTTAATCTTGAGGGTACAGAGACAACTCAGTGGTTCTCAACCTTCCTAATGCCACAGCCCTTTATTACAGTTCCTCATGTTGTGGTGACCCCCAACCATAAAATTATTTTCATTGCTACTTCATAACTGTAATTTTGCTACGGTTATGAATCGTAAAGTAAATATCTGATATGCAGGATGGTCTTAGGCGACCTCTGTGAAAGGGTAGTTGGACCCACAAAGGGGTCACGATCCACACATTGAGACCCCTCGCACTAATTACTCTGGCTATTTCTTGCTGAATTGGGCCAAAGATTGTTGTCTAGGCTATAATTGTAAGAGAGAAAGTGTCTAGCATACTGTCTGAGATATATTCATCAATTCCAGGCCTGATGCCATAGTTCTCTACTGTTATTATTTTAGTTGCTTTTGTCACTGCTTTGTCATAATATAACACTTTAATATGTATTTGGCTACAGTATTTACACACAAGTATATCCAAAGTTAGCAGGATTGACATGTCTAACTTTAGCAATCCAGAAAATATGGACTAGATTTCATGAGAGATGCTTGAAAACAAAGAAGAAACCCAGTCCTCATGGACAGTTGAGGAAGCTTATTATCAGAAAAGGATCAGGAGTCAGTCCAAATTGTAGATCAATAATGAAACTCAACAACAATGAACAAGGATCAACTCTAATGACAGGTGTACTTATCAAACATAGTTTTTTTCTCCTAGTTTTCCATTTCTACCAAGGATAAATCATAGTAACCAACTTAATTGCAAAATAGATTTTATTTGTTTTTATTTTTCTTTTAAATTTTATTTTGCAAAATAAATTTTAGTCTTATTATACTTGAACTAACTATTTGCATAAAGTGCAACAAGAACAATTTCTGGCCATATATGCTTTTTAAATAGGCTTTACTGGAACTTTTACATAAGGAATCTCAGATTAGACTTTTAAAAGCCTCACATTCAAAGCCAGGGATGTATCTATATTTGAACATACTGTAGATACCAGTATTACTTGTGTAAATTCCTTTTTGTCTTGAGTTTCCCAAGTAATTTGGGGTTCCTAGGTATGTCAGGTTAGGAAATTTATCATGGACAAGGTACCAAGCCAAGGGCTTTTTATCTATAAAGTCAGCCTTAATTCCTCAAACTATTCTGGGCATATGTGAAATTATGCCATTCTAATCAAAGCCTTGGTTAAATTATCAGTGTGTTCAGTTGTGTTCTGTTATTTTTTAAAAAACAGGTTCTTATCGAGCTTATAGAAATAACTATATTGCCATACTTGAAGAATATTCACAAATACTTTCCAAATTATATAGAAATTATACAGAAAGATAAATACTTCAAGTTTTTCTTACAAAAATATACTTACTGGGCTGTGCCTGTGGCTCAGTGAGTAGGGTGCCGGCCCCATATACCGAGGGTTCAAACCTGGCCCCAGCCAAAGTGCAACAAAAAAATAGCCAGGCGTTGTGGTGGGCCCCTGTAGTCCCTGCTACTCGGGAGGCTGAGGTAAGAGAATTGCCTAAGCCCAGGAGTTGGAGGTTGCTGTGAACCGTGTGATGTCAGGGCACTCTACTGAAGGTGATAAAGTGAGACTCTGTCTCTAAAATAAATAAATAAATAAATATACACTTTACCAATTTTTAACTCTGGAAAACAAAAAGAATCAGCAATGTTTCGAACAAAAAAATGTCATAGAAAAATTATTTTGTCCCTGCGTAGTATAGTCCTAGGTAATTAACTTGAATTAGAGACTTGGATGTGTTTTTCTTAGTTCAATAGCATAATCTTCAAAGTTATCAGAAATCTGTATTTCAGAGTATATTTTTCAGAATCTATTCTATGACTTTCTTCAAAGAAGCAAATTTTGGACTATAGCCAGTTACAAACCACTTTTTGAGAAGAATCAAAGTACAACATTAATTGTCCATAAATGTTAAGTTTTAGAATAGCAATAGTTAAAAGAAACAATTGACAATGAAACTTTGCTATTTCTGTGACATACAGCACTTTAACATAATAAACATAATTATTACTGATAACACATACCAAGACTTACTAGACTTTTAGGAATTTCATACAATTTTGGAATACACATTCCTGACATATTTATGTAAATATAACCCAAATGCAATTAAATACCTTTTTATATTTGACAATGTTCCCTGTAATTTCATACACCACTTAAGCCAAATATGTCTTTCTTGAATGTTCAGGAACTTTAACATTCAAAAAGTTGGTTTGAAGTAAAAAAGACTGAATTTGGAATTTTGGGGGGAAAGTTTGTTAAATGCAAACAGTTAATACACTTGGCATTATAAAATAGGATTATAAATTATGTAAAATAGTCCTTTATTTAGCCAAAGTCTTTTCTGTTTGATGGAGAAGATACTCAGTTTTCAAAAAGCCAGATCTAATAAAGTAGCATAAAACAAATAGAATTGGTTTTTCTTTCTGTTTCCTTATTTTCTATAACTTACTAAAAAGTGAATAAAAGTCAAAAGAAAAAAGTAAGTTTTACCTTTGTATTAGTGTATTATTAATGTTAAAGCTAATTTTAATAAAAACTCTATAAAGAAATCTACTCAGTCTTACTCAGTTTGAGCACAAAGTAAGATTTTTATAAACCTTGTTTAACCTATTATAATCTTTTTAACTTGTTTCTCATTTTTCTGTATTTATTTAGTTTTATCATTTTTTAATTAAATACAATATTTTAAAAGGTTTGAACAAGGCAAAATTACTTTTCCTTTAACAAAACCACATTTTTATGTCTCTTCATGAATTTTTTTACAGAAAATATCTTTTTTATGCATTTAATATATGGAATTATTTATTTTATATCTGGGAGTTTTAATTACATATACTAATCATGATGTTAACCCTTGGTAACACTCATTATTAGTGAAAAGCCTAGGAAGCAGAAGTAACTGCTGCTTTTGAACTGTTCCATCAGTCTTCATTTTTTATTAACTAAATATATTTAGCTTTCAATACCATATAAAAATAAGATATCAGAAGTATATAAACTTAAAATTATATTTAATAATTATTTCAGTATTTTACTTTACCTAGAACTATAACTTGTCTCATGATTATTTCTATGTATTACTTAATTTAGTGTGGCTTTAAGATTTTAAATTACCGGAAACAATTTTGAAAGTATGACAGAGGTACCCTTTCTAATGTCTTTCTTAATCATCTAGGGTTCAAGTGGCACCTATGTAGAGCTCTATCTAGAGCTCAGCACTTAGGACAACACTGTGGAGATGATGCCCAACTCTTCTCAGCATAGGCAGGAAGCACACCTGGGCCAGGGAAGCCATATCATTGCCATTTGTTTAGATCCTAGTATCTAATGCTTCTAAGACATAAGCCCACATACTCATCACTATCAAAAATACCACAGAAAATATGCCATTCGGGCATTGTTATTTTAAAGGAATTGGATCTTCTGGGTCCTGAGTCAGGTTTATAAGAGTTTAAATTATGAAAATCTTTAGCTACTTCACTGGTTCTAAACATGAGGGAAAAAATTCATTATGTGCAAAACATTAGACTGTAATGGATCTTGAGAATTCATGTTATTCTGACTGTGGTGTTCCCCACACCTCCCCCCTCCTTTTGTTTTTAACAGGGCTCAAGTTTCATGCTCAGGTTTTCTCATTAGAGTAGTCTATTTTTCATTGATAAGAATGAATGGATAATTTGCTATGGAAGGACACATTCCTGGAAAGAAGGGTGGAATTCTTCGTACATTCACATGGCAGTGTAATATTAATCTAATTAAACAGAAAGGTTCTCATTCCTTCCTAGGATCACAAAACATTTAAATATGTCTTCTTGTAGGTAATTTTTACAAATAGCAAATATTTAATAATACGTAGTTTAATTTATTGTCCTTGGTTCAAATCATTTTATTGTACCACACAAGCGGTACCATACCACAAAAGTATGTGTGTAACACTTCACTTTTTGAGTATTAGAATGACAATACAAAGTCCATATATTACCCTCATTAACGTAGCCTAGAACCAATCTATTCAATAGGAATATATAAGTAATAAAATTTTTTATTACTTTAAACATGAGAGTACTTTACTATAAGACTTGATTAAGCAGTGTTCCAAATAGCACTTGTTTGGTAGCAGTTTTTGGTCAATTGCAAAATGTTCAAGCAAAATTTTGACTTATGTCCTCTGACAGAAGTGACTTTTCCCTACTCCCTTACTTCTACCTTAAAAAAAAAAAAGGAAAGAAAGAAAAAAGATACAATGACAGTATTTCACAATTCTATGAGAGGTCGCTTTCAATATTTATAGATCACTATAGTTTTTCTGGGAGCAATAAACAAGAATGAGAGGTTCAGTTTTGAATTTATTTTCACTCTTTTGGCTTTTGCCAAGGCATTGCTTGGTGCAATATTTTGCACACCTGGAAAGGCCCAAGAAAAAGTGGCTACTTTCACCTCTCTGTAGGCTCAGTAATGATTTGGGAAGATGACCCAAATGTTAATTAACCCTTATAGAATTTGTATCATACATAATAGGAAGCAATTTCATTGATTCAAACATAGAAGTAGGTCCTCCTTCTTTTAATACTGAATTCAATTACCTACACTTAAAGTTCAGAACTTGGTAAAGCTTACAATCTTTATTATGAAATGCAGCATAACAGTGTATTCTATATTTTTTTCAGTTATAGATGATGCAGCTTGCAAAACATTCCTGAAACATGAAACAAGAAGAGTAATATTTAAATGTAATATAATCATTATGCCTCTTTATTCATCAAAATACCTTCATTCCACACTCTTTTGTCTCTTTTCATATCTGGCCTCAAATACTGGGTAAAGTGTGTAGGAAGAAATAAGTGTTTTTCATTGTCATTTCTCCTTGCAATGGGAGTGCTAAGGTTCAAGAACATCATTTTTGGAAGCTTTTTTGAGTCTAATGGAGCATCCCAGATTGTATTCAGCTTGCTTCTGATTCCATGTTGCTTAACTCGGGATTTCAGAGCACCCCCTCTTATCCCCAATTTGCCTTTCCTCTGGGTGTGGAACGCCCCAACTGAACTCTGTCTTGGAAGGTTTGATGAGCCACTAGATCTGAGCCTCTTCTCTTTAATAGGAAGCCCCCGAAAAGATGTCACTGGGCAAGATATTACAATATTTTATGTTGATAGACTTGGCTACTATCCTTATATAGATTCGTCAGGCACAGATGTGAATGGAGGAATCCCCCAGAAGGGTTCCTTAAAAGACCATTTGGATAAAGCTAAGAAGGACATTATTTACTACATGCCAACAGACAACGTGGGCCTGGCTGTCATTGACTGGGAGGAATGGAGACCCACTTGGACAAGAAACTGGAAACCTAAAGAGGTTTACAAGAATCGATCTATTGAATTGGTTCAGCATCAGAATGTACAACTTACTGTCTCAGAGGCTACCAGCCTAGCCAAGGTTGATTTTGAAAAGGCAGCAAAGAGTTTCATGCAAGAGACTTTAAAATTGGGGAAATTCCTTCGGCCAAATCACTTATGGGGTTTTTATCTTTTTCCTGATTGTTACAACCATGATTATAATAGACCTGATTTCAACGGAAGTTGTTTAGAATCAGAAAAGAAAAAAAATGATAATCTCGAATGGCTGTGGAAGGAGAGTACTGTCCTTTACCCATCCATTTATTTAAACACCAAAATGAATCCTCAACAAGCTGTGCTATTTGTACGAAATAGAGTTCGTGAAGCCATTAGGATTTCCAAACTGCCCGATATGGAGAGGCCACTTCCAGTTTTTGTATATTCCCGCCTAGTTTTCACTGATCTAAATTTCAAATTTCTTTCTCAGGTAAGTAAATCAAGGTATGAGAGCAATGAAATAGTGTGTACAAAAAGTATTTAGAGAATTTTCATATTACTTTTGAAGGGAGTGAAGTTTAGCTTTTAATATCTTTTAGCAATGTGAACACAAGTAGTTTTATTTCACCATATGAATGCAAAATAAGAATATGTTCAATCATCAATGTAATCTCATGACCTCTTAGCAAGCATAGACAATTAGGAGTAACCACAGTGTATTGACTCACTTTCTGTTTTTTCTTTCATGGTCCTGTTCTCTTGTCAATAGAATAATTAAATCAAAATAGTCTCTCTTTTATACTAAGGTGATCATAATATAAAAGAAATAAACAGTAGAGAAATAACTAAATTACTATTGTTGGGTCAACATGCATAGCTTTGGTGTTACTATCCTATGTATAACACTTTTGTTTTATTTTTATCTGTTAAATTTTTCTATCAACATTTGCCAGGAGGATCTTGTGGCTACACTTGGTGAAACTGTTGCTCTTGGTGCCTCTGGAATTGTAATATGGGGAAGCCTAAGTATAATGCGAAGTATGGTAAGTTGAATTGGTAGGAAACATATGAAAATATTTCTACCTATAATATTTTTGAGAATTTTTGGTATTGAATAAGGAAATGAATAGTGCCATCCTTGGCACGTAGCAATAGATGCTCAATTAATACTGGCTGAGTGAAAATATCTTGCACGTATGTGGTGATTGCACGGTAGAAAATATTGTACCTGTTTTCCAGTGATGAAACAAGTCTAGTGAGATTCATTGAATTTCTCTTGGCTACATGGCTATTAACTAGTAAAAACAAGAATATGATCTGTTTTCTGACAGGATGTTTGCTGTCAGAATATTGGACTCTCTTTATTTTCATTCTTGTTTAATTTTCCATATCAATTCTTCATCCCTACATCTTTTATGCTGTTGACACGATGCAAGCATAAAACTGTCATATGGTTACTGCTGAACTCCTTTTCTGATGGACGTGGATATGCTAATGATGCCATGGAAGATGTCCAATGAGGCTTCTGATCCAGGGGTCTTATCCTAGGACTGGTAGAGAACAGACTTTATAGTCTACTACCAGAAGAGACCTTTAGAGAAGAAATGTATTCATATCTTGTCCTTCAGATAGACTAGCCATATTTTTATTTTATTAAAAAGTACTTAAGAGCAGTTATATTTGTGAAATTATTTTAAGGTAATCTGAGCCATTGTACTTATTTTGAATACTTCTAATGTCTCTAGTTTGATCTACAAAAAAGAGACAATCTAAGTTCAGAGAAAGATGCATGTCCCTTGATAAAATTTTTTATATGTCAGAAAATTATTTTAAAGCTATAATTCTACTAGGTATATTCCAAATGTTTATTGTTTTCCAAAATTTATGAATTCCTTTATCAAATATTCTATTATTCAAAATTTATAAATATTTGTAAATTACCCATATTCTTTTCTTTTTTAATTTTTAATTTTTAATTTTTTTTAATTTTTATTTTTAATTTTTTTTGTTTGTTTTTGAGACAGAGTCTCATTTGGTCACCCTTGGTAGAGTGCCATGGTATCTTAGCTCACAGCAACCACAAACTCTTGGGTTCGAGTGACCCTCTTGCCTCAGCCTCTCAAATTGCTAGGACTACAGGTGCCCGCCACAGTGCCCAGCTATTTTTTAGAGACAGCGTCTCACTCTGACTCAGGCTGGTCCAACCTGTGAGCTCAAGCAATCCACCAGCCTCCCAATCTTTTTTGTCTTTTAAAGAAAACTGGGAATTCTGCCTTTACTCTGAGGAAGAATGAATTGGGCATTACTCAACGAGTAGGATGATGTAACAAATTATTTAAATGCCACACTTCCATGTAAGCTTTAATCTTATATTCACATTTTACTACCATGAGTGCTAAATAATCTTCAGTACTATTCATACTAGAGACAGTCCTTCAACTTTAATATAACAATTTTCTATTGTTTCAAAGTTATCTCCTGTAGACTCTGTTGTATATCTATCTGCTACCTTTTCCAATTACTCATCATTTTGAATGCTAGCTCTATTTTTGCTTTTCCTTTTTCCTATGTCATTTGTAATTGGTGGGGTCATAGATTACTTCTCATGTTTCCTCTGATTCATTGACACTCGAGAAACCAGTGATTGCTAATTTACTGGCAGTTACTGGAACTGACCTTAGACAAATATAAGTAAACCATGTCCTTTCATTTCATTTTATTGGATCTAGTGATGTGATGGAGCCAGCTCTATAGGTCCCAGCTTGTGATGGTAGTTGTTTGTGAGGCAAGTCATGGAATCTTGACAGCTTCCACTTGAATCTATTTCTTGTTACCTTCCTTGAAATGATGTCATCTACTGCAGGCAGAATAATTGAATAATTGCTTCCCAAAGATGTTCACACCCTAACTCCCTGGAAACTGTGACTATGTCAGCTTACATGGCAAATAGGACTTTGCAGATGTGAATAAGGGTATAGACCCTGAGAAGAAGGGGAGATTATCCTGAATTATTTGGATGTGCTCAATCTAATTACATGAATCTGCAAGTCTAGAAACCTTTCAAGCTGGATTAGAAAGATAAGCCCTAAGAAGGTGGAAAGATGCAAAGTAATCATTGCTGACTTTGAAAATGGAAGAAGAGGGCCATGAGCTAAGGAACGTACTGGCTTCTAGACGCTGGAAACGGCCTTTAGCCAACAGCCAGATAGATAAGGGAGCTCTCTTTGCTGCAACTACACCAACTACAAGGAACTAAATCTGCAAACAACTCAAGTGAGCAAGCGAGGATCTTCCCCTAGAAAGGATGCAGCCCACTAACAACTTGATTTTAGCCTATTGTGGTCCATGTTGGACTCCTAACCTACTAAACTATAAGACAATAAATTTCTGGTTTATAAGCCGTTAAGTGTTGCAATTTTTATCATGGTTGACTCAATTGTCATTCAGACGGCAGCTTTAATCAGACAATCCCCTTCTCAAGTATTTCTTGTGGACTCTTTCACATCTATTTTAATTCTGCATGTAACACTTATCAAATTAAATGTTTTGGTTTGTTGAAGGATGAACACAGCCAGCTTACTCAATGGAACTGTTGATCATAAAAATAAGTGACTATCTTTAATGCTTTTAAAAGCACAGTGTTCAGGTTTTAGAACATACCTTTCTCAAGATGAATCATTTCAGTTATTCATCACTCATGCTCTGCCAAATGTGTTAAGACACTTGTTATTATTCACCTCTAATTAAACAATATGTAACATTTAACATAAGGTATAGACAGTTGAACTTGTTTAGTTGTTTTGAGTAGCAATTTAAAAATCACTCTTGAGGTTCCTGGGTAAGATGGCTGACTAGACATTGGTGGTCAGATCATCCCAGAAAGAAAACTAAGTTTTAGGTGAAAATGCATAGGTTAGGTATAATTCTAAGGGAAAATTCCCCAAACTCACCACATAGTCCATGGGGAGAAGTTGAGGAGTATACTAAGAAGGAGCGAGGTTTGGGGAGAGATTGACCTTCAAAGAGTTTGGAGTCCCATGGAAAGGGTAGATGGGAGTGTTAATTTTTCTCCCACACATCTGCTCCAGTCTGCTGGCTCCTGAACTATTGGAGAAGCCCTCTATCTTTATGAGCCCAAGTTCTGTTGCAGGTAGCAAATTGAGAACTTCTTAAGAACAGAGCACTAGGCTACCAGACCACTCAGTATCACTTTTCCCCACCTCAAAAGTGAGCTGAGTTGTGGATGTCATATGGCTTGTCTACCTGTTGTGTGCCTTTATCCTGTCCTGGGAACTCCGCCCTTTAGTTTCCATGTCACTGGACCCTACATCAATACTTTGCAGCACCCACTTAGACTGTGATAACCACAATGGTCTAAAGCACCTCAGGAACTCTGCAGCATTCCCTGGAACTCTGTCTCATAGGGCAGGCTATTCCTAGGGAAGATGTGGTGAGCTATAACGCTTTTGGGGAAAAAAGCAAAGTGTGTGCCCTTCTCCACTGGAGAGCCCCTGGTATATGACCCAAAGTTGTCTGTACCCCTCTCAGTGGGGATGTAAGTACAGAGAGGAGTCAGTAGGGCAGGAGTGTTCCTGCCCCAGAACAAAGCAGCACTAGAGCTGGTGAAGAGATATGGAGATGGGGACTCCTTCATGCCCCCACTGCCCACTGGGGTAGCAAATGTAGCTGCTGTCTGTCCCCAGGAATGCTTGGTCCTGGCCTGCAGGACAGCTAGTCTCAAGTGGGTAGGGGGTGCTGCACCTTCACTAAATCTGTGCTCACTGCACCCACGCTTTATATAGGGTGCTTCTAATTTTCCTCCCTACGTGGAGAGGCAGCATTTTTGAAATTTCTCTGACAAGGGATTCTCAGCCCTTGTGATCCCCATATCCCTAGCACCAATTCAGATTATAGTAGCCACAGGGGGCTGCTTGGTTCCAGAGGAACTATGTGGTTCTCCAGGGCTTGGACATTCAGGGTGGGCTGCTTCCAGGTAAGAGGCGAGGGCAGCATGCCAAGGAGCCCCTCTGGACAAAGGAAACCAGAGCACTAGCCCCCCTCCATTCAGAGTCTCCTTTTATTCCTCCCCATTCCTGCTCGCTGTTCTCAACTAGCCATGGCAGTTACTGCATGAGGCTAGACTAAATGTCAAAAGGGACAGTTCAGCCAGGACACTTAGGAGTGGTTGCCACTCCCTCTGATGGTTTACCTACAATAATTAGGCTTCCATAGAGTGTGAGGCTCATACCTCTTTAACTATCAACCTACAGTGGACTGAAGGGTGTTTGGACTGTGAACCCCCTACTCATTGGACTTTTCCAGGGCTGCTGATTTGACTACCCCTGCAGAGAAGGGCATACTTGTCTACCTCATGGCTAGATGATAGCAGAATGACATTTGGCCTACTTGAGTGCTCCACTGGCAGCATGCCTCTCTCTCCCTGTCACATATAGCACAAATTTACATGCACAAGAGGACGGATCTGTGAGACTTATCCTATTTCCCCAGGATATAGGGTATAGGATAAGGCTTCAATTGTCACTCAGTAGCATGGAACACAGATTTGTGAACTGATGTCCAGTGTGGCATGAGACAGAACTGAGAAGAAAATGTGATGTGGGTCCATGGTGAATGAATGGCTACCTTTTGAATGGCATGGGTGGAGGCTTTCTCCAGTGGCCTTGGACCTGATCTTCAACCTCTGTTGAAGCAGCACTTGTGCCTCACCTTTGGGGAGCCTGGACGCAGGCTCACTGACCCAGCACCACCATCCATCCTTGCCTGCCCATCTGCCAGTAGACTGGGAGAGCACAAGGAGTCCCCTGACAGTTTCAGGGCTCTTCCCACTTCTTGGGAAAGATATCCAAGCACATGTCTTAATTAAGTAGGGCTGAGCACAGGTCCCACAAACACCACTGTATCAGGCTCTCTCCTGTAAACACCTGCTGGCAGTGAGATCTTAATTAACTAGAGCTAAGCACAGGTCCCACAAACATCACTGTATCAGGCTCTTTCTTGTAAACACCTGCTAGCAGCTCATTACATTTACTGATTCAATTGCATAGGGCTTGGATGACTCTTCACTTGTAAATACCACACCTATTGACCTGGAGATTAAACTGGACATCCCAATATAATTCATGCTATTGCAAGTGCACAGGGCTGGAGAAAGAGATTAAATTTCAAAGACTTTAATCTCCTCTTCCCATTAGGAGGCAGAGAATCCAGCCACACACATAGTACACCACTGCTTCAGCCTACAAATAACTAGCATTTGAGAAAACTACCATACTAAAGCTATCCATACCCATATTATTCATTCAGAACCTAGACTGTCCTGAAAGTACCCACAAATAAAGCCAAAGATCCTTACCCAATATGTGCTACAGTGTGCTCCTAGGAGGGAGGAAGAAAAATTCCATCTAAACAAAAGAAAATTAAAAAAGAAGTAACAGCCTCTCCAGGAATCAGTGAAAGAACTCTAGCAAAATGAAAAAACAGAATGTAATGAACTCCCAAAGGATCACAACCTCTGAAAAACAGAAACTCAGCTCAAAGAAATTGGGAAAATAATCCATGAAATGAATGAAAAATTTACTAAAGAGAAGTTTATACTAAAAAAAAAACCCAAACAAACAAAAACAGAACTTCTAACAATGAAAAATTAAGAAAGGAAATACAGAACACAGTGTAAAGTTTTAATAAGAGACTAGACCAAGCAGAAGAATTTTAGAGCCTGAAGAAATGTCTTTCAAAAAAAAAAATTAAAAATAAAGAAAAAAGAATTAAAGGAAATGAAGAGAGACTTTGAAAAATATGGGATTGCATAAAATTTCAAACGTTAAGAATCATAAATGTCCCTGAAGGAGAAAAAGGAAAAGCAAAAGGCTTGGGAAATGTATTTCAGAGGATAATTAAGGAAAATTAAATATATTGAAATAAAAAATAAAAACTATTCAATGCTACTTAAACTTGTCTGGAAAATGTGATGCTTATTACATTTATTTATAATTTATTGAAGGTCAAACAAAGGCATGCTAGGTACTGTATTAAACACTCTTAATATCTATCATATCCTTTTATCTTCACAACAAACCTATCAGATAAGCACCATACAAAATCCTTGTCTTACAGATTGTATAGCTGAAGCTATAGGATGCCCTAGTCATCCAGATAGAAAACTCTAGCTTGAGAGATTCCCAATTTCTTACAGGTGGTCATTAATGGACCTGGAACTCCAATCAGAGCAAATGGACCTCAGAGCCCATACTCTAACAGCTGTACTATTCTAACTCTGATCAGTTTATGAATAATTAAGGAAGATCAAGATTCTATATTAAGTCTCAACTGATCAGTTATTCAGTGGAATAAAACAGCATTTGCAGCAAATGTCAAATGTCACAAAGAACAGTTGGAATAATACTGCTTGATAGGGTAAACAATGATAAGATATTCTCTCCCTCTTGCTCTGTTTGGTTATATTTTTTCTTCCTTAAAATTTTCTTATTGCAGTGAGTTAATTCATATATTAATGACTTATCCTATGATATTCTGACCATCTTATAATTTTACAGAAATCTTGCTTGAACCTGGACGGTTACGTGAAGAATACAGTGAATCCCTACTTAATCAATGTGACCCTAGCAGCCAAAATGTGTAGCCAAGTGCTTTGCCAGGAGCAAGGTTTGTGTACAAGGAAAGACTGGAATTCAAGTGACTATCTTCACCTGAACCCAGAGAATTTTGCTATTCAAATTGATAAAAGTAGAAAGTACAAAATAGTGGGAAAACCCACTCTTGACGACCTGCAGCTCTTTTCTGAAAAATTTCAGTGCAGCTGTTATTCTAAGTTGAATTGTAAAGAGAGAGAAGAAATGAAAGATGTTAGTTCTATTAACGTGTGTGTTGCTGAAGATGTCTGTATAGATGCCTTTCTAAACTCAGAATCCGGTCGTCATTCTTGGAAGCAAGGTGACTCTGGTGCGATTTCCCACGATGCATCGTCCACACATTCTGCCATAATGATCTTTGCAAATATTTTATTTCTCATCATGAGTTCTTCTGCAGTGGATTTGTAATTCTACATGTTAGCTAAAATGAACAATATTTCCATTTTTAAAGTGTGCTTTTTAAACTAATTAAATGCCTGAAAAAACAAGTCTCACTGAAAGATCTTTTTGCAAAGTTCCTTCTATACCTAGTAAATGGTGGTTTCTTTTCAACTTGACAAACACTGCACTCTTCTATGAATGATACTTTCCCTTGCAGCTATTATAAATGGTATTGAGTTACTGATTGGAGTCTCCAATGACTGTTGTGTGAATGTTTTCCTTTGCAGCTATTATAAATGGTATTGAGTTATTGATTTGGCTCTCAGATTGACTATTGTTAGTGTACAAAAATGCTACCAATTTGTGTACATTAATTTAAATTCCAGGACTTTACTATATTTATTTTTCAACTCTAAGACTCTTTTGGAGGAGTCTTAGGGTTTTTCTAGACATAAGATC